CATCTTCAAGCAAAGACGATGACGAGTTTGCTAAACCTGCAACAACCAAAGGGAGTAGGACGCCGTCAGAAGGACCGAACGCACCCATATTTCGATATATCCCGATGTCAAGAAGAAATAATGGTCAATCTCCCTTCGAAACTGAAACAAGAAAAGCCGACACACAGTGGCACACGGATAATGTGAAGTTGCTCAAGACAAATGCAGTTTTGCCTTTGACACAGCTAGGGGGTGCTAAGGTCGCAAGACTACCACAAGGCTTCATAAAAGCTCTACCAAAGAAGGTGGAATCAAGCTTTCTTCCAACCAAAAGGACCGAGGAAGGTTTCGACTCTAACGCCTACAAACTCATGTCAGAGGCCGGGTACGACTTCGCTTCTTCTGCGGTGGCTGGAAAGAAGGTTTCAAACACCGTCAATAACGAAGAACGTAACCTTACCAAAACTCAAAAGAAGTTGAAGGAGCATGGTTACGGAGTTGACAACAACAAAGCCGGACTTGGTTTCACACCAAATGCACCTGTGATGATTTCAAACAAAGCGAAAAACACTAGTGCTTAACACATCAGCGTGAGCATTGAACAAGACCAAGAAGAGCCTAAACCCTCCCCTCGAACGTCGGTCTTCGATAGGATGAGCCATTCAAGCTCCAGAACGTCAGTGTTTAATCGCATCGGTGGTCAAGACCAAACCTTTGTCTTCAAGAGGCTTAACGCGCCAACATCCCAAAACTCTGTTTTTGAACGGTTGTTAAAGCTTAAGAAACAAAGCAGCACAGTTATCTCTCCTCTGCGACGATCAGCTTCAGAAAAATTTGAAGATAATGAGAAGCCTTTTGGAAAGAGGAAGACAACACCAAAGGAAGAAAAGCTCGATGGGTTAGGAGAAAAAGATGACGTTCGAAGCTTGATTCCTTCAAGGATGAAGCGCCAAGCAATCTTGGAGGTCGACACAAAGGGACCACTGAAAGTGAGAAGGCGTACTATCATCCACACCAGACAATCCTTATGCCAATAAGCTCAAGAAGACAGCACTGAAGAGGAGATCCAAGATGTTTTCCACATCACGGTTCAAGAAGGTAAAGAAGACGAAATCCCCGAGGAAGATGTCACTGCTGCACCACCACAGCTCGAAGATGGGGGGCAAGCCACAGTGGATGATCTCAAGGAACTCAACTTAGGTACAAGCAAGGAACCAAAGCCTATCTTCATAAGTGCATTATTAAGTACAGATGAGATAGAGAAGATTTATCAGCTGTTGTTAGAATACAAAGACGTCTTTGCCTGGACCTACAAAGAAATGCCCGGCCTGGACCCTATCATCGCTGTTCATCATCTTGCGGTCAGACCTGGAACACGACCGATAAAGCAAACTCAAAGACGCTATCGATCTGAGCTTATCCCACAAATTGAGGTCGAGATCGACAAGCTTATCGAAGCAGGCTTTATTCGAGAAGTGCAATACCCCAAGTGGATCTCCAACATCGTCATTGTCCTTAAGAAATCAGGACAAATACGTGTTTGCGTAGACTTCCGGGACCTCAACGATGCTTGCCCAAAGGACGACTTCCCCTTGCCAATCATTGAAATCATGGTGGATGCAAACACTGGCCATGAGGCATTATCATTCATGGATGGTTCTTCTGGGTACAATCAAATTCGCATGGCCCTCGAAGACGAGGAGCTAACAGCCTTTCGTACTCCAAAAGGTATCTATTGCTACAAGGTGATGCCCTTTGGCCTAAAGAACGCTGGAGCTACGTATCAACGCGCAATGCAGAAAATCTTCAATGACATGCTACACAAGAACGTAGAATGTTACGTAGATGATGTGGTGGTTAAGACGAAGAAAAGATCAGACCACTTGAAGGATCTGCGAATAGTGTTCGAAAGGCTGCGAAAATACAACCTCAAGATGAACCCGTTAAAGTGTGCGTTTGGCGTCACCTCTGGAAAATTCCTTGGCTTCATCGTCAAGCACCGTCGTATTGAGGTAGACCAATCAAAGATCAAGGCCATTCAAAGCATGCCCGAGCCAAGAAACCTGCACGAGCTGAAAAGTCTACAAGGACGGCTAGCCTTCATTAGACGCTTCATTTCCAACCTCGCAGGGCGTTGTCAACCGTTCAGTCGCCTTATGAAGAAAGATGTCCCATTCTTATGGGACAAAGCATGCCATAATGCTTTTGAAAGCATAAAGAAATATTTGTCAAGTCCACCTGTCCTGGGGGCACCTGTGCCCGGGAAACCACTCATATTGTATATTGCTGCTCAGGAAAATTCAATCGGAGCACTCTTGGCGCAAGAGAATGAATCCCAAAAAGAAGGAGCACTTTACTACCTCAGTCGGACTCTCACCGGCGCTGAGTTGAACTATTCCCCAATAGAAAAGATGTGCCTCGCTTTGGTGTTTGCCATTCAGAAACTCAGACATTACATGCATGCTTACACCATCCACTTGGTTGCTAAAGCCGACCCTGTTAAATACGTTATGTCTAAGCCAGTCTTGACGGGGCGACTCGCTAAATGGGCTTTGCTTCTTAATCAATATGAGATCATCTACGTCTCAGCTAAAGCTGTCAAGGGACAAGCGCTAGCAGACTTCCTTGCCGATCATCCAATCCCGGCTGATTGGAAAATCTCAGACGACTTGCCTGATGAAGAGGTGTTCTACATCAATATTTTTCCGACATGGACGATGTTCTTCGATGGATCCGCACGAGCAGACGGAGCGGGGGCAGGAGTAGTATTCATGACGCCACAAAGGCAAATACTACCTTACTCCTTCCAACTGAATGAGCTATGCTCCAACAATGTTGCTGAGTACCAAGCATTGATAATCGGGCTCCAAATGGCGATCAACATGGAAATCACAGCTCTTGAGGTGTATGGCGATTCCAAGCTCATAATCAATCAACTCTTAACTGAATATGAGGTGAGGAAAGATGATCTCGTCCCATACTTCCGGCTAGCGACCCAACTGCTACGAAAGTTCGAAGCTGTGACACTGGAACATGTGCCAAGAAAGGAAAATCAAATGGCAGACGCTCTCGCCAATCTAGCCTCGAGTATGACACTAGGAAAAGATGAAGTTGCAGACGTGCCAGTTTGCCAAAGGTGGGTGATTCCGCTCGTTAATGAAATGTCACTAGATGATACAAATGTCATCTCAGTACTTCCAGTCGATGCTGAAGAGTGGAGACAGCCGCTGATCGACTACTTAGAGCACGGAAAGCTTCCAGATGATCTTAGACACCGTTCCGAAATACGTCGACGAGCACCTCGCTTTCTTTACTACAAAGGAACACTCTATCGACGCTCTTTTGAAGGAGTACTCCTGAGATGCCTAGGTGAGGAAGAAGTTAATCAAGCCATGGAAGAAGCACATTCAGGTGTGTGTGGGGCACATCAGTCTGGGCCAAAGCTACATTTCCGGCTTAAAAGAATGGGTTACTACTGGCCAAGTATGGTGAAGGACTGCCTGGAACACGCCAAAAGGTGCCAAGCCTGCCAGTTCCACGCCAACTTCATACATCAACCGCCTCAACCATTACACCCTACAGTTGCTTCATGGCCGTTCGACGCATGGGGATTGGACGTTGTAGGACCAATTACGCCAAAGTCATCTGCAAGGGAAGCTTACATCCTAGCTGCAACAGATTACTTCTCCAAGTGGGCTGAAGCCATACCTTTAAGGGAAGTAAAAAAGGAAACTGTTGTTCGTTTCATCAAGGAGCATATCATCCACCGATATGGGGTGCCTCGCTACATTATCACTGATAACGGAAAGCAGTTCTCCAACCGACTCGTGGACGAGCTTTGCGACAAATACAAGTTCAAGCAGCACAAGTCTTCCATGTATCATGCTCCGGCCAACGGCCTGGCAGAGGCATTCAACAAGACGTTGTGCAACCTCCAGAAAAAGGTAATCGGCCGAACAAAGAGAGACTGGCATGAAAGAATAAGTGAAGCACTTTGGGCATATAGGACTACACATAGGACTCCTACCCGAGCTACACCTTATTCTCTTGTATATGGCGTAGAAGCTGTTCTACCGCTCGAAAGTCAAATCCCCTCATTAAGGATGGCTATACAAGAAGGCTTGACTGATGAAGAAAATGCAAAGTTGCGCCTTCAGGAGTTGGAAGCGCTGGATGAGAGAAGGCTCGAAGCTCAACAACACTTGGAATGCTACCAAGCACGGTTATCCAAGGCATTCAACAAGAAAATCCGCCCAAGGTCTTTCCAAGCCGGAGATCTCGTGCTGGCGTCGCGTAGGCCTATCATTACAACTCATAAGACAAAAAGCAAGTTCACATCAAAGTGGGATGGACCCTACGTGATACAAGAGATCTACACCAATGGCGCCTACTTAATCATGGCAGAAGACGGGTTGAAGATCGGCCCCATCAACGGCAGATTTTTGAAGCGCTACTACCCCTAAAGCAAACGCACCATGCTCCTGGCCCGCAAGAGCATAAACTGTGTACGGCAAAATCATCATCAAAACCATCACTCATTTGAACTACGTTATGACTTGATCTCTTCTTTGGAAGAGTACGTAGGCAACTTGAAACTTCAAAACTTCAAGTACAGTCACATCAAAATAAATAAATAAATGTTTCATTAAAGAAAGTCAATTTTATTACAAAAAGAAAAGAAAAAAAAATACATATGTTACTATGTATTAGAAAAAAAAATATATATATTCTATACTAAAAAAAAAAAAAAAAAAAAATTATACATGTTAGAGGGAGTCCTTCTACACTTAAGACTTGTGCCAAATCAAAGAAAACAAAAGTTGAGACCCACAAAAAGAGGAACCCAAATGCCAGGCCCATCTTTTCTCAAACACACAATTGTTTTGAGCTTGCTGTGCAAAGAGCCCTGCTTCTTCTCCCGCCAGGCTCGGGCCCGGCTCTCAAAGCCCAATCTACGTGCACTCCTTCATCCATCCCTCACCAACCCACTTCCCGCTTCTGTTGCTTGTTACATTCTCCAGTTTTTCACAATACCACAAGAAAAAAAATGGGAGCAGCAACGAGGGTTTGGATGAGCACTTTGGTGGTGGTGATGGCGGTGCTGGTGTTTGGACTTGGGGACTGCGCGGCGCCGGCTCCTTCGGTGGACTGCTCGAGCCTGATCTTGAACATGGCGGACTGCTTGTCGTTTGTGTCGAATGGGAGCACGGAAACGAAGCCGGCAGGGACTTGCTGCAATGGCCTCAAGACTGTGCTCAAAGCCGACGCCTCCTGCCGCCTCTGTGAGGCCTTCAAGAGCAGTGCTCAGCTCGGCGTCGTTTTGAACATCACCAAGGGCTGCTTTTGCATCTCCCTCCCCAAATTCCCAAATCAAAACTCCCAAAATCCACGATCAGAAGAGTTGGATTTTAATCCAAATTCCCAATCATCCGCTGAGAAAAGATGCCGCAGAGGCACTCGAAGAACGACAACGACCTCGCTTTCTTCACCTACGACGAGAAGAAGAAGCTCGGCTATGGAACCCAGAGGGAGCGGTTGGGCAGGGACTCCATCAAGCCCTTCGACGCCTGCTGCCTCTGCCTGAAACCCTTCATCGACCCCTGCGACAACCTCTTCGGCGACCGATTCACCTGTGGCTTCCGATACGAACCGATCGACAACTCCTCGTCCGCCAGCGGCTCACCGAGCTCACCCTTGACCAGGCCGCTTACTCCTGCTCGCTCTCCAGAATTTACAGAAGCAACCCACTTCAAAACGACTTCGATTACTGCCGTTTCGGTCTGAGCCATGGGTTTTGCTCCCACTCTCGCCAAAACAGCAAAGAGAACGGCGGGGATGCTAAGCGCCCAGGAACATCGATTAGCCTCACCTACTTAGTAGCAAAAGCAACATGGGTTTCTACTGTGAGCACTGAAGATCAAGAATTTCGGACAAAGTTCGAGTTTTTGACCCGAAATCACGCATGGGTTTGATCCATTTTCTGGTTTCTCGGTTTATTCTGCTCGTATGTTCTACGCCACCACCTGTTTGTGGGAATGCCGAGCTGGGAGCTCTGATGGAGTTGAAGGCCTCTCTGGACCCGGAAGGCAGGGTTTTGAAGTCGTGGACCAAAGAAGGTGACCCGTGTAGTGGTTCATTCGAAGGCGTGGCCTGCAACGAGCACCGCAAAGTGGCCAATGTTTCTTTGGTGGGGAAGGGTCTCTCGGGTCGGGTCTCACCGGCAGTGGCAGAGCTGAAGTGCTTGTCGGGTCTGTACCTGCACTACAACAGCTTGTCAGGAGAGATTCCTAAAGAGATATCGTATCTCACTGAGCTCACTGATCTGTATCTCAACGTCAATAATCTAACTGGGGGTATTCCTTCTGAGATTGGGAACATGACTAGTCTGCAAGTTATACAGCTATGTTGTAACCAGCTGACAGGAAATATACCAACACAGATGCGATCCAGAGGAGGCAGGTTCATGTGACTCCGGATGTAATGGTGGACTCATGAACAGTGTCTTTGAGTACACACTCAAAGCTGGTGGACTAATGAAGGAAGTGGATTATCCATACACTGGTATTGATGGTGGAGCTCATTCCTCTGTCTCCTCACGCTGCCAACAAACCTCGAGCTCGTCACCCTGGCCACCATGATCAAAATCAACGAAGAGCTTCATTGACCGCCGTCAAACGACTAGTCGGTCTTCAAACTCGACGTCTTACGCTCTGCCTCGGGCTGCTTCTGCACCTCCGCCATGGCTGCTGCCTTTGAATGTGATCAACAAAATCAAAGTTTGTCAACTCACACCCAAAGATCTCGTCCGTCTGCTTGCCTCTGCTACTGCCTTTGAATGTGATTGACAAAATCAAAGTTTGTCAACTCACACCCAAAGATCTCCTCCGTCTTCTCTCGGACTCGGCCTGGGTTTTCACCCACGAACTCAGCCTTGCAGATGGCCTTATAAAGAAAAAAAAAAAAAAAAAAAAAAAAAAAAAAAAAGTAGCAATGATTATGCCGGGAAGCATATTTCAAAAGAATAATAAAAAAAAAATAATAATAATAATAAAAAAAAATAAAAAAAAGCAACTCTGGTGGATCAATCCACCGAAAGAAGGAAAAAGAATAATAAAAAAATATATATATAAAATAAAATAATAAAAAAAATAAAATAAAGTAAAATGAAATGATGATGTTGGGAAGTAATGATTAAAGTTAATAATAAAAAAAATAAAAAAAAAATAAAAAAACAAAACTTTGGTGGATCAGTGCCACCGAGAAAAAAAAAAAAAAAAAAAAAAAAAACTTTGGTGGGTCAGCACCATTGAAAAAACAAAAAAAAAAAATCTTGGTGATGTACATGTTTTCTCTGTATTTAGCACAATACACTAAATAAAACGAAGTATGTTCATTGATTTTCGAACAATTACAAGTGCAAAAAAAAAAAAAAAAAAAAAATGTATCTAACAAAGAAAGAGGAAGATGGAGCCTTCACAAAGGTCGTTCACGTGAAGCCCCACTACTCGGCCAAACTCCAGGAGCGGGAAGCACCGAAGATAGATCATTCGAGGCCCCAATACTTGGTGGAACGCTTGATGACGCCGGAAAAATGTGCCTCTGGAAGAAAGACGCAAGCCTTTGATGGTCACTTTGAATGCGACCTTGAGATTCTTGCATCTCATCAAGCTTCCTCTTCATGCCCGACGAATAGTTATTTGCAAGCACATGCAAACCTCTATTCTCGTACTTAAGCTGTTTAATCTCCTGCTTAAGATCTTCCACCTCTGCCATCAATGATTCCACCTGACGGGACCGAGCAAGCAGGCGTTGGCCCATGTTGGACACGGAGCCCGCACACTGAACACTAAGAGCGAGGGACTCTTGAACGGCCAACTCATCGGACCGTCCCGACAGCAGCCTACTATCTTTTGGAGTAAGGAGGTTCCTAGCTACTATTGTAGCTGTTGTGGCGTCCTGCATCACAGAGTCTTCACCTGTAAGAGGACCGTTAGAAGATAAGAAAGAAGGGCACCATACATTATCTTGAAGCGGCGCAACCGGATCACTGCTGAGACTCAATTCTAAGCTAAGGTTCGATGGGTTAGCCATTTTTCAAAGGTGTTAAAAGAGATGGGTGGATGGAGTTAAAACTCAAAAGGCCGGAGATGATTTTCAGGAATGAGCAACCTTCAAAGTGTGCATGTTAGAGGTGATCAATACCTCTATAAAAAGGAAGAGGCGCTCGCTCAGAAATCGAAGAGGCGCTTGCTCAGAAATCAAAGAGGCGTTGGTTCAGAAAATCGAAGGGCCGCTTATTCAAAAAAATGAAGAGACATCGCTCTGCAAATCTCAAAAGCTGGATTTTCCGGCGTAAGTTAGGCGACGCTTTCTCTGCTTTTCAGAAAACGCGTTCAACTTTGTCAAAAGATCTCCGACAAAGTTGAAAACACGTGGAGGCTGGCGACGCTTTCGCGGCTTTTCAGAGCACGGGTGCCACTTTGTCAAAAGATCACGTGGAGGTTATCATCGCAGCTACACATCTTTAGCTGACAAGCGTAAGTTAGGCGACGCTTTCTCTGCTTTTCAGAAAACGCGTGCAGCTTTGTCAAAAGAGGCACTCGTTCAGAAATCGAAGAGGCGTCGTTCAGAAATCAAAGAGGCGTATTCAAAGATCGAAGAGCCGTCACTATTTCAAAAAGCCGGATTTGCGGGATCAAAACGTTTGTCGACAAGGGTAAAAGAACAGTACCATCACTTGCTATTGGGAAATCCCTATATATGTCGACCTTCATCTTTTATGGCAAGGCAAACCTGCAAACAAGAAAAAAAAAATGCCCAACTCTTCCTCACCTCCGAGAGTACACTCCCAGCAAAGCATCTCAAAATGCTCAGTTTTCTTCCTCTCCGGGAATACCCTTGCAAACAAATGACACCAAGGCAAAAGTATCTCATATCATCAAGGGCGAAAGCAAAGGTATCTCATATCATGCTTTTCCCCTATCTTTTCCTTTGCCCTTGTTCTCACCTGCCAGGACAAGGACAGAGAAAGCAATATGTCGGAACCTCCACTCAAACTTGCGCTGCCACCAAGAAGTGATGGTCCATTCAAATGCAAGGTTTGCATTCAACTCCTGCATCAGGAACAAATAGTACAAGAAAAGATACTAAACCTGCATAAGGAAATACCACTTCTACAAAGGGGAGCAAGTAAGGCAAGTGAAAATGATGCATTGAAGCATGTGGAGACAAGCTACGACTGCATATGCTGAGCTATCCTCTAACCCTCTTCAATACGAATTGGAGAGATTGAACAAAGAAACAGAAAAAAAGGAGTAAGCTCAGACCTTCGGGGAAGACCAAAAGAATCCTGCTGCCCAGTTCAAGAGTAGCACAAAGGAAAATCAACGATAGGGGGAGACCAAAAGAATCCTCCAGCCCAGTTCAAGATCAAGCCTCGATGGCCCTTGAAGAAATCACAAGTCCGATTCAAAATCAAGTGTTCACCACCCTTGAATCAAATTCAACTCCAGATCAAAGGAGTAAGTTCAGACCTTCGGAGGAGACCAAAAGAATCCTCCAGCTCAGTTCAAGATTAAGCCTGCGGAAAATCAACGATTGGAGGAAACCAGAAAATCTTCCAGTCTAACTTAAGATCAAGCCTCGATGGCCCTTGAAGAAATCTCCAGCTCAATTCAAGATCAAGCCTCGACGGCCCTTGGGTTGACATCTACATTAAGGGACTTCAAAACGCATCTTCTACACGTGACAAGCACATGTCTACGACACGCCTTGAAGTGGGGGCATTTGTAGACATCAAAATTTCGGTGAAATAAATGTTGACCAAAAATTAAAATTTCAATGCTCACGTATCACATAAATTTTACATGTAGCGTGTGACTCAACGAAAAATCGAAATAAATTGGAAAAGTCATCAAATAGGACACGTGTCAATACCTGGCAGAAATGATTTATTTCATCTGATTATTTAAATCCAAAAATCAAGTTTTGGAATTCTATAAATAGGAGGCCAAAGGCATTCATTTTAGGGGGAGAAGAAGGAAGAAAGAAAGGAAGGAAGGAAAAGAAGAAAAGAAGGAAGGAAGAAAGAAAGAAGCCTTGAAACTCTAAAGCTCTCAAGCAAATCCCGAAGGATCAAGAAAGCAATCTTCGTTCTTCGTCAAATCCACCTTCAAGATCAAGCCCCGACGGCCCTTGAAGAACTTCCACCAATTCAAGATCAAGCCCCGACGGCCCTTGAAGAAAGTGTTCATCGCTCATCATCCGTTCATCCTAAGATCAAGCCCCAACGGCCCCTTTGGATCAACAACCTCAACAAATCCACACATCCGTTCATCCTTCAAGATTAAGCCCAGAAGCCCTTGAAGATCCGTTCATCCTAAGATCAAGCCCCAACGGCCCCTTTGGATCAACAACCTCAACAAATCCACACATCCGTTCATCCTTCAAGATTAAGCCCAGAAGCCCTTGAAGATCCGCTCATCCATCAACCTTCAAGATCAAGCCCAACGCCCCTTGAAGATCCATTCATCAACTGTGCATCCTTAGATCAAGCCCCGACGGCCCTTTGGATCAACAACTCATCCACAAACCCACACCCTTCGAAGATAGAATCAGAGGACCAAATTACAAAGAGATTGTAACCCTAAAAATCATTAATACAAAAAAATATATTTTGTACACGTATTCTTGTCGCTTGTTTCAGGAATTATTCGTGTTTACACCCTTATTTTACGATTTTATTATTTTAAAGGAGCAAATTGACGAAAATACCCATAGAGGTGAATTGTTGACTTTTGTTGACCACTTTTTTGTGACGCATACAAGCCATTAGCTTACCATATTCTCATAGTAATCATGGCTACGAGCGCGTAGGTGCAAGCATAATTGAATTTGGAGCTATGACAAAGATTTTACGAACTTACGAACATGAAAGGCAATTTGGTAATTTCATATTTAGAGATATTTTGTGGCTTGTTTTGTGAGCCATGTAGGGCGGCCCACACCCCACTCTTTCCTTCTTTCCCGTGTCTCCCAATCCCCCAGAAATCCGACCTTTTTTCAGCTCTCACCACTCATTTGTTGCCACCTCATCTCTCATTCTCTAATTTCACTCTTTCTCACCTCTCAGCTCCCTCTCATCTCTCTCTTTCTCTGGAAGCGCAGAGAAGCCACCCAAGGCACACACCACCTACCACCTTTTTCCGACCAACTCCACGTGAACCACCGCTACTGCCTTGACTCTCTTGTTCCCTCACTCACTCTCTCATTCAATCTCTCTCTCATCTCGGTAAAACACCACCGAGCCATCACCCTAGCCATGTACGACTATTGGCAATCTGATGAGCCTCAAAACCCAGACGATGTTCCCTTCGACCCTACAAACTTAACCCAAGCTTTAGGTTACTGAAAATCATGCACAGAAGCTCACATAGAGCTCTGTTTGAAATCTAAGTTTTCTAGTGAGAA